TTGGTGTGCGCATAAGGTCCAGTATAGTGTAGGTGCTTTGATTACTGCCAATCTGATTTTTTTCCAGCTGCTCCCACCTAAAAATGAATATTAATTTTGAAGCTTAGCTTTTCAAACCGCGAAAAGATCTGCCATTTTTCCGGGCACGTTGATCTGTTTATTTGGGTAGCCTTTCTTAGTACTCGATCGGCTTCCATAAATCGTCCCTTAACTACTAGCCATCGTATGCTTTCCGGCACTAGCCTGAATATTAGACGATTCTCATACAATTATTAAACTTTGACCTTGTTTGCCATACCACCAATAAGAAAGTAGGCAGAGAGATGGTAATGCGATAGCAGCTTGGAGTACACGATAGTCGGAAATGAAATAAGCCATGAGTACCAAGAGAAGCTGACTTCGAAAATTAATAGGCGAAAGTGAAGTTCAAAAGTTATGAGTACTTCTCCTAGCGCTATGAATGTTGCAGTTCCCACAGAAACAATTCCTCTATATTTTGGTCCAACAAGCTCCGTACCCAACACTATAGCCACAGCGTAAACTCCTGGGTGCGAAATGCCAGTACCAAATCTGAAAACCAGCAGAAAAAAAACCATGAAACACAAAAATGACAGAAATGTTGTGTGAGGAAATTGTCTTACTTAAATAAAGCAAAAAGCCACCATGTAGGAGCGATACTCATCAGCATGCCACATGATATTTGAGTTACAATGGCTAAGTAAAATACCCGTTTTCTACCAAACCTGGAAGGGTAGAAGTTTTCCTCGAAGAAATCCTCCATAACATTGATTCTTACTTGTCACTTATCATACCGCTTAACAATGATCCAGTCATATGACCAAAGTAGTAAAAAGACTGGATTGTGCTTTTAATCCATGCCCTGTTGCCCCTTATGTCCCACTGAAAGAGAAATTCCATTTCTATATTTAAACAGTAATTGTTTGGCAAAGTCCATTTTTTCATATCGTCTGCGACGCTTCACTCACTCTATCGACAGCAGAGTATCGTGCTCCTGTGCATTCTTCG